TAAGAACAAACTCCGACGATTTTTTCTTTGAAGTTCTTGTATAGTTAATGAAATTACTAGTAGAGTGATAGTTAAACCAATCTAATTAATCGAGTGTTAATAAAAATGACAGGCCGGTGCTGGATCAAAATCTCTACTACGTGGGGATGACTTACACGTCGGCAACTTTCGCTTCTGCTACTGCTAATGTACTTCCGGCCATCACCTTCGTCTTAGCCATCATTTTCAGGTATACATTATTTTTTAGTAATATAAATAAATTCACCATTAAGTGTCATGCTTTTGATTCATATTGATCCCATCATAAACTTAGGTTAAGTTTTTTATCAACTTAATTAATGGACTACTAATATACTGTATTTTTTACTGTTGGTAAATTATCCTGCTTTAATTACGTTGGTTCTTTGATTCATATTTTTGAGAATTTTTTGAGTGACTTTCCCCATACCGTGGGAACAAGATTAGTGGAATCAGAAGAGACACACAGTTATGTCCGTGGAATACGATACCACTTGATTAATTAATTAACACACCAAAAGAAAATATACTTGATGAGATCATCACTTCTACTTACGTAAGATGTCATTACAAGTCTATAGGGGAGAATAGATACAGAAACGTAACTGTTTTTTTTTAGTTCATGCGCGCATGCTATAATCTTATATAATAATTAGACATAAGCAGCTCGTTTAACGAATTAACAAAATTTCAGATTAGAGAGCGTGAACTTCAAGAAGGTACGAAGCATAGCCAAAGTAGTCGGAACAGTGATCACAGTCTCCGGAGCACTTCTCATGACTCTCTACAAAGGTCCAATCGTTGACTTTATAAGATTCGGCGGTGGTGGAGGAGGAGGAGACGGTGCTGGAGGGGCTAGTCACGGTGCAGCAGCGGCAGATTTGGACCAGCACTGGATTCCGGGAACACTAATGTTGTTGGGAAGAACTTTTGGTTGGGCCGGTTTCTTCATTCTACAAGTGAGTACCAAATTAACACACAATTTCCGGTTTATCCATTTACCGTGGAAAACAAAATTTAACGGTTTTGTTTGATTATATCAAAACGCAGTCGTTTACACTGAAGCAGTACCCAGCTCCACTGTCATTAACGGCGTTAATATGCTTGATGGGAACGTTAGAAGGAACCGCCGTCTCATTGGTAACGGTACGTGACCTCAGCGCTTGGAAAATCGGCTTCGACTCCAATCTCTTCGCTGCCGCTTACTCCGTAAGTACAAACATATTAATTTACATTTTCACGGATGATTAAAAGGATTTAATAACTAATTAGCTGCTAATAATTGGTGATCTTAGGGAGTGATTTGTTCGGGAGTGGCGTATTACGTGCAAGGAGTTGTGATGAGAGAAAGAGGACCAGTTTTTGTTGCGACATTTAATCCTCTTTGTGTCGTTATAACAGCAGCTCTCGGTGTTGTTGTCTTGTCTGAAAGTATTCATCTTGGCAGGTATTTTTCACATTTAATTTTCTTTCTAAAATTAATTCAGTTTTTGGACCCAATTAATAAATTTTATATTCTGCTTAATTTTTTGTTTTCAGTGTGATTGGAACGATATTTATAATCGTGGGCCTATACACAGTTGTATGGGGTAAAGGCAAAGACAAGAATATGATGGATGATGACGACGAATTTAGCAAAGGACTTCCGGTTAAAAACCCGGTTAAACCGGTAGACACCGGTAAAGGCCTAGCCGATGAACCGGAGACGAAATCAAAGGATGATCAGGAGACTAATCAGGCTACTTAAGTTGAGGTTTGAGGATACTTGTGTAAGATAACGAATGACAAATGACAAATCAGTGTTTATGTTTTTGCTTTCCAAGATTTTGGCAGATCAGATGTAATATATTGATGAGAATAACCAATCATCATCAAAGTTATATAACTAAAAGTTTTTGTGAGATAACCAAACTTCAATATAATCAAGAGTGTTTTTTTCGGTTTTACTCATCAAGAATTTCACAAAGGAAAATCAGTTTTTTTTAAATGCGTGGAAAATAAACAATTGTTGTTGAATCAAAGATCAAAAAGCTAAGGAGAGTGAAGAAACGAAGATGAGAAAAGTGATAACAAAGTAACTAACGGAGGAGGAGGTGACAGCGGTTGAGAAGCTACCGGCTGGACCATTAGCGGGGTTACCAGGGAAGGAACCACCGCCTGAAGGAAGCACAGATGAGCTTGGTGAAGCTGATATGGATCCTGGACCATCAAAATCCGGTGCAGGAGCTGGTGCATACATTACATCCTTAGGAACTGTATCCGGTGGAGCTAGAAGCGGTGCAAATTGCTGAGGTCCTGCATTTTTAACCCATTGCACTTACATGAGACCACATGATGAATCTAGCAGCTGCTTCTCTATTTTATTGTTTAGAAAAGAACTTACCGGGACAACGGGGTTGAAGAGACCTAGACAGCCTGAAAAAACGAAAGACAACGAAATGGTTATTAGTAGAGAGGTGCTTTGATAAGAGGAGAAGACAGACAATGTGAAATGTAATTCACTTACATGGTCAAGATAGTGCCGTTGGCAAAACCGTTGTAATCACAGGTTGTAACGTTACAGCCAGCGCTACTCTGCTGTACGGTGATGTTACCGAGCATGAGGTTGCTGTTTCTACACTGCATACTTGAGCAAGAGACGGCTAAAGAAGCTGGCTCACAATACAAACTGCATCACAATCACACACACACACAACACAAGTAAATAAAAAAATGTAATCAGAGACATTTTCATTTTATAAGTCATATCAATTAGAGACAAGGAGAGATATTATTACTTGCGGCTCCCAAGCGCGCAGCTGCATTGCACACAGTGTCCGGCAGCTAGAGCGTAGCTACCGTTTGGCACTATCAATCCGAAATCCGAAGCGTACCTTGGGAACTTCGAAGCACAAGCTGAGAGAGAAGGTGAAGAAGACACACAACCAAACATCAAACATTTCATTGTTAGTTACCAACAAAGAAGCAAACTTTTGTCTGCTCAAAACTCATACAATGCCAAAACAATGCCTTAACAAGAATCAAAATGCACAAAGAAACATTCAAAGTCCCAATTTGGCAACAAAATTGACTACAACTAACAATACAAAATCCAATTGAAGTAACGATGAAAGATTGTAAGAGCTGACCTGACAAAGGGACGGCGAGGATATCGCCGGAGCTAACATCAGGAGCACCCATGGCATTGACATTCATCAAATCCGTAATAGTGGTGGAGTACCTCCTGGCGATTCCGGCCAAGGTGTCGACATCCCTCACGACATACGACAGATAAACCGCCGGCAAGGAATTGTCGGTGCCGTTGAAGCAGGCGCAAGGCAGAGGGATGACGAGACTCGTCCCGACATCGAGAATCGACGGGTCACTCACCGAGTTAGCCTCCTGGATCTGCTCGGAGGAGACCAAGCCGCCGTAGACAGAGTCGGCGATGGATCCCAGGGTGTCGGAGGGCCGGGTTTTGTAGTGGGTCAGGACGGATTTCCGGATTCCGTCGACGCAGGAGCAGGCGATTGGGATTTTGAGGAAGAGCTTGGAGGGGAGGATGTGGTTCTCGACGTCTGGGTAAGAGATGTCGATGGCGTTGGCGAGGAGGACGGAGATTGGGTCTACTTGGAAGAGAGATGCGACTTCCGAGACTTTGAGGTCCGTGTAGAGCGTGTAGCCGAGTAAAGAGTTGCAGGTGTCGTTGCTTGAGCATGGCTCGATTGTTGATTTAGCTGTCGCCGTGAAGAGTAAGCTCGAAGCTAGAATCAGAAACAAGAAGAAGATGGGGTTTTCTGGGTTTTTCATTTTTTCACTTCTTCTAGGGTTTTACGAAATTCGAACTCTTCTGGGTTTTCACACACTCTGTTACAGGACAATGCCCCAGTGTACAGTGGAGAAAGAAAGTTTAAGCTAATCGAATGTAAATCCAGAAATTTCAGAAGGAAGAATCTCTCTTATCTCCGGATTTCTGGTTCTTCTTCGAGAGGAGAGAGAGAGATGAAAAAGAAAAAAGAAAAAAGAAAAGTCGAAACTTTTTGAAATGGAGAGAGAGAGAGAGAGAGAGAGAGAGAGAGAGAGAGGCGAGGGAGTAGGAGACAAGTGTGTTGTACAGAGTGAACAGAAAACGGTAGCTTTGCGATCTCCGAGACAGACAGACATGTCTTTTTTTTATTTTGTTATGACTGGTTTACCCCTTTACTTCATTTACTACTTTACTCGTTTGACCAGGTTTATTTTCAAACAGGTGTTGGCTTGTTGCATGACGACTTAAATGAATGAAACTAGTTTTGGTATGGAGAGGACCGGAAGAAGAAGGGTATGGCGGTAAATTTCGTTAGAAGGCCCACTTAAAAAAAGGCCCACTTTTACTTTTAGAGAAGCTAAAGCAACGAATATCAATTAGTAGCTGTTTGTGAACTAAACAGCCGCTTAAAATTATTCTTTTCCTCAAAAACACGGTCTTTAAGCTTTTCGCCGCGATAGTATAAAGGCGGGAAGAAGGAAAATCCTTTCTTAAAATTAACGTCGTAATTTGATCTTTCAATGATTCCTTTATTATGTTCAAACAAAACGCTCTGTTTACGTTTAGACAATTGAATAGCAGGAAGCATGTAACAAGGAAAACCATGAAGCCGTATAAAATGCTACATTTCTTCAACATTGAGTTAAAAAAACAAAAATGACAAAAATACACTTGGTTGAATTTTAGTTTTTTTGGGATGTTCCAAGAACAAATCTACCTTTGTTTGAGCACTTCTCTTTCACTCTCAATAGTATTGGAAAATATGATTATACATAACATTTTCTATATTGAGTTCAAAACAAAAATAACAAAAAGACACTTAGTAGAATTTTTTAGTTTACAGAATTCCAAGAACAAAAATAACAAAATGACACAAAAAGACAAAAAAATTCCAAGAACAAATCAACCTTCGTGTGAGCACTTCTCTTCCACTCTCAACAATATTGGAGAAATTGATTGTACAGATGATCAATGTTCAAACTTTACCCTCGAGTTTATCATTTACAAGAGGAATCATGAGTTCCATGTGCTTGTTCCTTAAGCTTGGTGTACGAGGAGTCCTAGGAGTTCCCGGTTGTTGCTGAGAAAGCATATGACTTACATATCCATAAAACGTGCATCCCACTAGTGTGATTCCGCATCCAACACCATTCATCGGCGATATCGGGTTTCTAAATATCATCCATGATATCATCACAGCCACTGCAACCTGATAAAAAATCACAATACCATCCATTAAAAAACGCGTACTATGTCATCATCATATTAGGGTTTAGGATTTTGTTTCATTTTACCTTAAGGTTTCCAGCTACATTGAATGTCACTGCTGTTGTGGAGTGAATGTCATAGAAGATGGAGAAGTTAAGACAGAAAGCTAATACTCCTGAGCTGAATATAATGATGAGAGCCGACCATGGAGACGGGTGTGCTTCAAACCAATCCAAAACCGCATTGCCTTCAAGTAGGAGTGCTGGTACACCGAGAATCATTGTTGCAAATGGCGCCATATAGTATACTGTGTTTATGCTAAACAAAGAGACATGACAATGAATAAGTTTCATACTTTTAACGAGGAGGAAACAAAAACAGAACACTGACCTGTCAAATTTGTATCCATGAAGGAGAGATTCGGCAAGAATGGTCTTTGTAGAGGTAGCTAAACATCCAAACAAAGCAGCACAGAAACCGAACACGTTAAAGCTAAGTTCTGTAATAGAAGTCAGAAGAATCCCTCCAACAATGGGAACCAACGACGCCCAAATACGCCAGTCGAAATATTTCCTCCATACCAGCCATTGTAACACAACTGCTTTCAAAGAAATATTACACAATAACCAATCAGAACTAAAATAAAAAAAGGTTGAGTGTTTTTGGAAACCCTAAACCTGTTGTTGCTGGTGTGAAGGATTTGATTGTCTGCATAAAAGAGACAGGGATGTATCTAAGACTGATGTTTCCCAACACAATGTTGATACAGAAGACGAATGACATTGGGAAAATCCTCTTCCATCGATCTTCTGGATCAACCACTATCAATGGTTTAAGCTTCAAGACTTTGATCACAATGTAGGCTCCAATAGATGAGCATATGAAATGCACACATGAAACTGTCAGTGGAAACTTGAAATCCAGTTTCTGCAACAGATTTATCATTTATTTACATTGATCAAAGTACTAAATTTTCAAACATAGATCAGATAAAGATAAGAAACCTTCCATTTGTTGAATGATGAAAGTATATTATTACCTGGAAGATCCATTTGTTCATGATGATAACGGTAACGTTAAAACCCCACCATTGAAGAATCGATAACAAAGATCTGAACATACTCCACTGATGCCAAATACTGCTCTCCTCCATTTATCTCTTTCTCACTCTTTACCTCCGTGGAAAATCTCTTCGAATTGTAAACTTGGAACTCTAAATTTTGTGATGGGTTTAAAGAAATGGATCAATGAGAAAGAAGAGCAAAATTAGGAATCTCGCTATGCGAAGCTAAATAGGAAACCCTGATTATAGCGCAAGAGGGGAAGAGAGTAACGGTAGGAGTATGCTCTGCCTCCATGCGATTTGTTTCGCATTTTCTTGTCTTCATCAATCTTAAAACGTCTTTCTTTCTCTCTCTCGTTGCCATGAATATAATGTTTTGCTCTTTCGTAAGTTTCCATGTAATTAATATTCTTTAACGCTTTTAGTTAATCGTAGATGTCTTCCTAGAATCTATCTACCAAAGTGTTGATGTTATTAAGTCGGGACTTTCATTATACATAGTGCATGCAGATGCTTTCTTAGATGAGCCCAACATGGAAGAACAAGAACCGAGAGGAAACTCCTGAGTCCTGATGCTTGTTTCATTTAATCATATTATGGATTTTAGATTGGATACGTTGAGAAATTGATATTTGCTTACTAGTAAGAACCAACTAGTAAACTTGCGTCCAGGAGGGGCCATTATGTGCTTTCTATTGCAAGGAAGTATGTTTAGAAGGTTGCAAGAAAAGTCAAATATGAATAAAACTCAAACTTATGATCCCATTAACATCAATAGAAAACTCTCGTTTAGCAAATGATACCGCAAAAGAAACCTGATTCTAAACGATGAAACAACCGAATAAAATACGAAACAGCCTTTAAGACATCAATCATGATATATCTACAGTTGTAAGTTAACCAAATAAGCCAAATCAAGGCCTCCAATCTAGTTGCAGGTTCTTCATCAAGAGCAGAAAAGTCTGGAAAACAAGTAACCATGACAACCTTGCACAACATCAAGCAAAGGAGATGTCTGACACGCTTCACCAGCCTCACGATCCATCCATCTCTCTAAAACCGTTTCAGCAACAACGGCAATGCGATGCTGCATCACCGAAGCACCCATCGGTCCAATCAAATTCAACCTCGTAGCAGCAGACACAACATCTCTCAGCGTGATAAACAGGTAAGCCCTCTGAGAACTCTCAGGATCCATGCCGAGTAAGCCGCATATAAGCCCGAATACTGGCGCATGGTGGAAACACACGTTCTTGTCGCATAGAGAGGCGTCTCTGATCATCTTCAGATTGGGGATCTCGGTGAAAACCGAAGCAGCCACGCGGAACAAGGCTGATCCTTGTGACGTGGATGCCTTTGAAGAGACTTGGTTGGTTAGAGTAGCGTTGAGGATCTGATCGAGCTTGTGCCAGGTTTCTATGTCAGGAGATTTGAGAGCAGAGTAGACGAAAGGAAGCAACAAGCTCGCTGTGTTATCCAAGACGTTGATGATATGGGTTTCGAGATCTCCCGGAGACGAAACTAACCGGGTCTGGACCGCTGCTTCGAGACCGAAGGAGTGAGCGAAGCCTCCGGTTGGTAAAATGGAATCGAGTAATTGCCACTGGCTCCACTGCGTACAAGACGCAACAATCTCGCTTCTCTCGTCTTCTACGATTGGTTTCTCCATTCAGTAGACAATCTCAGTGATTGCCCCAATCTATGAACACGATTGAGCAATGCTTCAGCCTAAAAAAAAAACGAATTTCAAACTTGATAAACAGAAACTATGTCGAGATCCTTCTCCAATTCATGATTCTAGTGAACAAATGGATCCATCCAAGAAATCTGATGTAAACATCGGCGCAATCGATCGGAAAAATATTAAGATCTGAATTACGAACGACGATTGGAAAATCCACAACGTAATCGAGTGAGGAAAGTTGGCTGCTTACAGAGAGGCGTCGATAAAGATGAGTGAGCGAGAGAGAGAGACTCAAGAGTCAAGAGAGTCTCGACGGATACAGAGGCGGAGAGAGAGCTCCGACGGAAGGCGAGGAGACGACGGAAGACGAGAAGAGGAGGCTAATATATTTTTTAATCATTTCAATTAGCTTAGAAAATAGTCAAAATACCAATTTGCTTTACGGTTCAATTCAAATAGATAGAAAAATAAACCAAAAATCAAGCGGGAACCGAGCGCATTGGCGTCTTAACCGAACTAAACGGCTTCATAGCTACGTTCCATAGTCCGTACCAATTTACTTGACGGTTGTTATCAAATTAAGCGGAACCGACGGGATTGCGTTTAAACCGAACCAAGTGCATTTATGACACGTCCAGTATCGTTTCTCAAGCTTCATATTAGCCCATGTAATTAGAGTTTCCTAGCAAGATAAATTTCTGTATATGTGTGTGTGATATAAATTTATAATAGATGAAATCATATAAATTGAGGCCAACTCTCTCCATATAAATAACATGTGGGCACAAGAAAAAATGACATATGGCATATAATTGTCTCTTTTAAAAAATAAAATTTCAAAGTTTAATGGGAACTTTAATACAACTTTTGGTATTCTTTTGTATTCATTGTAAGTTATAAAATAAATTTTCATTTAAAAAAGAAGAAATATTGCAAAAGTTTAATGGAATTTCAATGCAACTTTTAGTTATTCTTTTATTTCATTGTAACTTACAAAATAAATATTTTATTTTTTGTTGGTTTTTCAACAAATTAAGCCATGAAAAACAAATGTTATAGGTTGATGGGGAAAACGGCCATTTCATACCCAAACTTAACTCATATGTTCGATTCATACCTCAACTTTACCACTGTCAAAATCCATACCTAAACTTACTTAAAATTTAAATTTCATACACAAACTTTCATGTTTTTTTGAATTTCATACATTTTCCGTCACTGTTTAACAAGTCTGTTAAGTCGTGATGACGTGGATGCCACGTGTTATACAACGTCGTTTTATTAGTAACAAAATTAGAAAACTGAAACAAAACGTCATTGTTTTTATTTCTATCACTTGACATCATTTTCATCTCTTTGTTTACACTCCGAGAAATCGAATCCTCGTTCCCAGAAAAACAATCAGACGGCTATGAGATCTCGGGTATTGGATCTGGAGAAGAAAGTGATTTGCCCCTGATTTCTTCTTCGCTTTTCAGCTTGACGAGTCCATTCAATTTCTCAAAAAAGTTTCAAATTTGTCTTCAGATCATCAAATAAATTTGATTTCCCATTTCAATCCATGAGAAACAGTTTCTTTCCCGTGCCCAGAGGTTAAATTGATAGAATTTCGACTCTGTCTCAAATCGGAAGAGAGAGAGAGAGAGAGAGAGTCAATTCGATTTCTCTCATCTTCTGAAAAAATCAATTTTTTCATTGAATTTGATTTTCCATTAATCATGAAATGCTTCTTTCCGGTTCTCAGATTTCGAGTTCAATTTCTTCGAATTTAATCTGAGTTTTTTTTTTTCTCCTAATCCTAAGTATCTTTCTATTTGATCTTTTATGGCTTAGGAATTATGAAACAGAAAAATTCCTGATAGCTAATGAATAGTGATTCGTTTTCAAACTTAGGCGACCTTTCTCAGGAAAGAAAAAAAAAACTCTACTTATAATCTGTTCAAATCCCAAATTCATGGTTATTCCACCCAATTTTCATAATCAAATTGGCATCTAAGCTTTTGGGGAAAGAGATTATTATAAGAGATTTGAATTGGTTTCACCATTTTAAGGATTCTCCATTTCTCCTTGCTTATGTAATGATTACCTGAATCATGGACGATGAGATGCAAGTCAAGAAGTTAGAAAGTCAGATTTAATGAGGTTTGAAGAAGAAAAATAAAACGACATCGTTTAGTTATAAAGATAAAACGACGTTGTTTCGTCCCATTGTCAATTTCTGTGTGAACTAAACCATCGCCGTTGACTACCACTAATCCACTTCGACAGATTTTAACAGCCTTTTAACGGAGTATTAGTCTACGTCATTGGATTTTAACGGACAATTAGCCATGTCACTAAAAATGTATAAAAACCCAAAAAAATGAAAGTTTGTGTATGAAATTTAAATTTTAAGTAAGTTTGGGTATGGATTTTGACAGTGATAAAATTGAGGTATGAATCGAACATACGAGTTAAGTTTGGATATGAAATGGCCGTTTTTCCTAGGTTGATGACATGTAGATACCCCATGTAGTATTATTCAATTCTTCTGTCACTAATGTCGTTGACCTAGAAGTGTTTAATCACATGTTCAAAGTTCATAAAGGAAATATTGTTTATTTATTATAACCTCTAATTCCGTTAAGTTACAAAATTTTCATCCATAATTTTTTTCTATTTATTTAAGAAAATTGGTTTAAAAAGAGAATTTAGTATATCACTTTGGCATAGTTTAGTATATTAGAGTCAATTTAATGTAATAATATGGTGTATAAATAAAGAGACTTAAGGGCATAAAGACATGTGGTATTATGCATAACTCTATATTTGAAAGTGAGTCATTAACCAAGCAAATGAGAATTAAAAATTGATGTTATTTAGGTTAAAGAATTATTTTTAAAATATCACAAAAGTATTATTTAAATTAAAATCACAAATTCATAATTATTTTAAGCATTATTATTAAACTATAACAAAAGAAAAACCTGCGCGTATGCGCGGGCATTAGTCTAGTAATTTTGATAAACATATGACCTACATATTAATATGCTCCCTCCTTTCTTGAATAAATTGTGTTGTATCCGAGTTTTTTTGTTAACAAATAAATAATGTACAAATCAATGCAAAAACTAAACGTGTTTGGACCACTGTTTTGTTGACATAAACTCTTATAATTTAATAATGAAGGAAATAAAAATAAATGCATTACATAAAAACATAGAGCACATATACATAATATGTAGACTAATATAATAATAATAATACAAACAGACACATACATACATTTATACTTTCATTTTGTACTAACGCAGAAAAAAAACATTAATTTTCATAATTTGAAATTAAAAATGTTTAGCACTCCTTAGGCATCCAGCTGCATAAGATGCCATTTACAAAACCGGCAGCATCCTTTGGAGGAACGTAATATTCTGTATGAGCGGTTTGTTGTCTGTTACAAAGTTTTTTGCAAGATTCTTCGCAAATGATCGGATCATATTTTTTCATCACTTTCGTACACTGATTCGGGATACAATGTTTGACACACATTTCTACATTGACTGAATGAGAAATTTGTGCCGAAAATACCATTGTAATTATAGCAACAATGGTGAAAATGATGCATGTTTTCTTGAAGGCTTGACCTGCCATAACTTTTTATTCACCTGAAATCCTAAACAAGTATTACAATTTTTATTTTCTGTTTAGATAGGTAGACGAGATGATTTGGTGAGTATAGATGATTTTTATAGTGAAAGTAATGATATCCATTTTTAGCATTTGTTTTAATCTGTTTAATGCTTCTATGTCTTGAGATATAAACAGCAAATTAAGTTTTGTACAATTAGCTGTTTTTTTTTACATATTTAGTTGTCCAAACAACTTATTACTAGTTTTTGTACTGGAAAATACTAAAGCCAAGCTTGCAAATATCTCAATTTGCCATTTTGGTTTGTTTTGTAAAACCACATATTGCTTACAAATATTTATTTGGAACAACAAGTATAAATATATCAATAGGATTTATTTGAATGGTTTAGTAATAGATGTTGAATTGAATAAACATAACATATAAGCATTCTCGAAATCCATGCTAAGTAGTCACATATATATAATCATAAATATCATGGCATAGTATAAATTTTAGATTTGCTGAACGATCTAATCACGGTTGTTTCATGCAAACAAGAGCACGTATGACAAGCCCAATATTGTTTCTCAAGCTTCATATGTGTGTGTGATAAACTTATAATAGATGAAATAATTTTGATTAACAGAAGCTCATAAGACCTACATATTAATATACTCCCTCCTTTCTTGAATAACTTGTGTTGTATCCGAGTTTTTTGTTGACAAATAAGTAATGTACAAATCAATGCAAAAATTAAACGTGTTTGGACCAATGTTTTGTTGACATAAACTCTTATAATTTAATAATGAAGTAAATAAAAATAAATGCATTACATGAGAACATAGAGCACATATACATAATATGCCGACTAATATAATAATAATACAAACATACACATACATACATTTATACTTTCATTTTGTACTAACGCAGAAAAAAAACATTAATTTTCATAATTTGAAATTAAAAATGTTTAGCACTCCTTAGGCATCCAGCTGCATAAGATGCCATTTACAAAACCGGCAGCATCCTTTGGAGGAACGTAATATTCTGTATGAGCGGTTGTTTGTTACAAAGTTTTTTGCAAGCTTCTTCGCAAATGATCGGATCATATTTTTTCATCACTTTCGTACACTGATTCGGGATACAATGTTTGACACACATTTCTATATTGACTGAATGAGAAATTTGTGCCGAAAATACCATTGTAATTATAGCAACAATGGTGAAAATGATGCATGTTTTCTTGAATGCTTCACCTGCCATAACTTTTTTTTCACCTCAAATCCTAAACAAGTATTGCAATTTTTATTTTCTGTTTAGATAGGTAGACGAGATGATTTGGTGAGTATAGATGATTTTTATAGTGAAAGTA